CAATTCTGTGTTTTTCTGTCAATATGGGGTGCTGTGTGTACATTAATGAGGAAAAAAAATTAACTTAAATGATTTTAGCAAATGGCTGCAATATAACAAAGAGTGAAAAATTTAAGGGGGTCTGAATACTTTCCGTACCCACTGTATCTGCAACAGGCTAATATCGGCCAATAAAATCGGCAAAACGATATATTGGTCGGGCTATAATAATAGCAGTGGTGAAATGCTGTACCTGTTTGCTATGAAAACGATGACTGGAACTCTTCTATTTAAGATACTGATCTAAAAAACAACACAAAAAGAAACATTAAAAATCAGCAAAAAAATTAAAATTAAAAAAAGTAAACTATAAAGTTAAGGTGGTGGTTACATCAGCATATCAGGACATATAACTTTCTGTACTTTCTTACTTCATATATAACTTTCTGTATACAATTCATGCCCCTTCTTTTTCAACCAATTGGAAGGCTATCAAGTTACACTTTTAAAAAAAAAACAGGAAAAAACAAAAAAAAAAAAACACACCAGAAAACTATGAGCAAATGGATCTTCTACACAGGATTAGTTATATATTTGACATGGCTCTTTCTTGTTGGCTTAAACAACCACTAAAAATATTGTTCGACCCCTGCACTCAGGTTAAAACCTAAATACAAACAAGTAGATGACGTTATAGTTACGTTATAGTGTTATAACTGCAATAATCCCTCTAAGCAAGTAATGTAAAATCACCGCACATCTCACATACTGGGCGTCATGTATAACACTTTATAATATAACTGCTATCCAATAATATTAAGATAACACAAATTTTAACAGGGAACAAAATGCACAGCTATAAAGAAACGCATAATTGTTACATTATAAACTGTGTTGAAGGCCCAGTCGTCAAACGTGCTTCGCTGTGCTCTGGCATGGCCGCCCATAGTATTGAGTGTCATAGTAACACACAAATACGCCACAAACACAACTGACACGAGGAACTCAGCACAATCATAACCCCTAACTGCGGTTAAATACACATTCGCGTAATGCAGAGAAGGCGCAAAATTAGACAAAACAACCGCTTGCAGGACTGAGTATTTCGTTTTGTTACTTGCCCGTTAGCTTTAGCTAATCGCTAGCGCGACCTCCATTCCATTCGTGCGCAGTGTCGCTTACACAAGAGATCCTTTCATTCCATTATTTTGTTCCTCAGTCGCGCTCATAAGACTTTACGTTGTATATGGTGCCAATATAACTGAATACAATTCTCAATAGGCTCTAAAGTATGTACTATGGGTGTTAAATATAACTAATTTCTGCGAATCGGTTCTTTGTCGTCATCGCGTAATGACGCCATCACGTGGTCCTTACGTCCAGGCGTTCCCATAAAACCCTACGTACGTATACAATGCTGTTTATTACGTTATTGATAAGCGTGTTTATCGTATGTGTACAGGAGTTTCACGCCGAACGAATCGCACAGACTAGTTTCTTGGACCGATTCAAAAAGGGATTCGTTTGCGAGTCCTAAGTAGTGAGAGCACTGGTGTGTCAGTCACACAGAGCTGCCACGTGAGAAGAGGTTATAGTCTAACTTACACGTAATGATTATTATTTAATAGCAAACTAATTTAGAGATATTTCATATTCATGCAAAATATGCTGGAGACTTTAAACATTTAAACACAGTTTCCTCAGCAGACATATATATATACTTATCTGCACGGACTAGCTTTCTATACCTTCCAGTCGTGCAGAAAAACACAAACATTCATGAAGAGAAGTACTTCACATTATAATAAATTTGATTAAAAAGCTGCAAAATAATGCCCACGTTTAGTGCAACGCCAGAGGACCACACACACCCACTTCGTAATCTTAATTGCATCTAAAATTCGTAGTAAGTTAATCACATTTAAACAGGACGGAATACTGCAATCGAGTACATATTCATGCAAAATATGCTGGAGACTTTAAACATTTAAACACAGTTTCCTCAGCAGACATATATATATACTTATCTGCACGGACTAGCTTTCTATACCTGTTCCAGTCGTGCAGAAAAACATTCATGAAGAGAAGTACTTCACATTATAATAAATTTGATTAAAAAGCTGCAAAATAATGCCCACGTTTAGTGCAACGCCAGAGGACCACACACACCCACTTCGTAATCTTAATTGCATCTAAAATTCGTAGTAAGTTAATCACATTTAAACAGGACGGAATACTGCAATCGAGTACATAAATCTGTTAACAGTTTATAGAATAACGTACAGTCAAACTGTAATAAAAAAAAACGTGATTGCCAAGCACACGAGAGACATACGTGTTTTTAAAACTCATATACCAAAACATAGATTCAGCCTTATTAGATTTGGAGACAAAACTTTGTTGTACTCCACCTGGAACAATCATTTCTCATCGTATCAAATAAATATGGAGACTCGTGGCGCCATTACTAGAGCGCGAGGTTCACTGCAGTAAAGCTGACACACTGAATCTGCATCTCTGAATTCAGCACAGACGAACGGCAGAATAACATGTTTTAGTGTTCATAACAACTGGAAATGCATACTCACTTGTTAGCATTAATAGCTCTCGGCCTATGGTCAGTGCAAAGGTATGACCTCCATTTTCTTTTCTCGTTGATGATGGTGGCGAATACAGTATTAGCTTTTGCTAGTAGTGCATAGCATGAGGCAAAGCACAGGCGAAGCTGAAGTTACAATGTAGAACAGCGACGCAGTGTCGTGGGGGTGAAAGTGCACCATCCAAAAATATCCGACATGCAGAAGTGCGCCCTCTAGTCTGCAGTCGAACATCTGACCGCCATTCAAAGCCTCTTTAAAAAACCTAAAACTGGTACAATTTGATTATATTATTCTGAAATTCGTTAATAATTGGGGTCTGGATTTTACAGATTTATTATTATTATTAATGTATTATTATTATGTTTGATCAAAATAGATTTTACTTTATTTTGGGCGAGAAATCTACTTGTATTACACTGGTTATTATTATAGTACACTAATTATAATTCATTTTTAGAATTATATAATTGATGCATTGAACTTCCCATATCAGAGCAATGCATCTTACATTTTTACACACTTGGATTTCATTTTAGACAGACATTATTTGTTAGGATATACCGTAATAGGCAGCAAATAAGGACACATAATTAGAGAGGATGATGATACACAAACATCGGATTCTGACTTGCCTTGTTGCCTTCCTTCAGATCCAGACATCGATATAAGATTTGGCGGCTATAATAACAGAGGTGTCCACAAAAATATTATGCAACAAGTCACCACAATCATACATACCGTGGCAAAAACAAATCACTTCTTTTAGAGATTTAGAGATTACATTTACACACAACCCAGAAATGTACATAGCATACAGCTTCTCAAAGATTTTTGTGAATACTGTCACATTAAAACACATTTGAAGGTTCAAATAAAGTAGGGTTTTCTTGCATGTTTTAATGTCAATCACTCATCAAAGAATGACTCCAATGTGAAACATTTTCATCAGGTGTTCTCTTTAATTCACTTGCACCATACAAAAACTATTAAATTACAATTTAGACCACCAGATCTTTATTTATATACAATATTGTAAACATCGATCTGTTCTTCTTTAGACTGACAGCCACTCTTGACCGCTCTCCTTTGCCCTCTGTATATGGTTTGGAATAACATATGTATGCACTATTAACAGCATAACATACAGGAATTTTTCTGTTTGTGGTTCATAGGTGCAGTATCTTATGGGTTAATAAGAATTTGTTCTTCAAACATTTAGAATACAGCATCAAAATGAAGACGTTATATGCAAAATTATAACTAACAAAAACAGCATTAAACAAGTTCTGCCTTAATCACCTGGATTGGTGTGAAGTTACAATCCTGTTAACTAGGATATTAAAAGGTCATTTTTAAAAACAATAATACATTTAGCCAATGTTCTTATAAAATGAATCGGGTACTTTTAAAGGTTAAAAAAGGAAACAAATTACTCGTCTTAAGGTAATTATCTTAAAGGCAAACAATTCTTTGACACCAACAATATAGACATGACAAAATCTTCTGTCATTCATCAATGATCTAACACTGGCTTTCAAATGCAAGGTCAACTTAAAAAGAGAACAATGAGATCCTATTGATGTCACAAACGGCAACATCAACAGGATCACAGAGGTAAACAGCAGGCGAAACAGAAAAAACTGAAGGCATTTGAGATATATTACAGGTAATCAAATAAAGAGAGTCTCAGATTTACAATTCTCACTCTTATCTAGTGATAATACAGTTTTACAACATGTGTAACAATCTCCTTTCCATGGAGACACAATCGAACAAGATAGTGATAAAGTAGTCATATTTTGCAAAACAGTGTTTAAACTCACCTTAGCGCTGTGTGGAGAAGATACAATGTTGTCTCTTAAGTTTTATATAACCAAATATTTTGATAAAATAGCATAAATAAGATAATCCAAGAAATACAGCACAATACTCTTCTTTAATTAGTAAAAATAAAAATAAACACATTCTGTACTAGTTTTTGGAACTGGAAATAAAAACCACCATTTCGCTGTAACCATGAAATGAGTGACGGGACTCATCTTTGAAAGATTACCAGCAGATCAGGCTTTCTGAATATTATAAACATATTTTGGCAACATTAAAAAGGATGAACTCAAATAAAAGTTATCAGACCCCATGTACCTACAAGATTTAAAAAGAACAATAAATAAACTGGTCTTCTTTTTTTTTTTTTTTTTT